AGGCGAAGGTCGTTTGCCCGAAACATTGCAAGAAACAGAAAAGAACAACAAACATAATTTAGACGTGTTTGTTAACTTATTTATTTATCTGACTTATTTCTTCCCACGTTTTGTGTAAAAATATTTACTCAAAAATTGCTTATTTAACAAGTTAATTAAAGCTGATTAAAATCAGAAAAAATAGATATCCGACTGTGCGCTTCTGAAATGACGTCATGACCTTGAAATCTGGTAAAAAAAAAGATAAATACAATTTAATGATTCAAACAATCCATAAACGTTTATCAATTTTCTTGATAAACAAACAACAATAACATGAAATGTCAAACTACGTTGAAAGGAACTAGAAGTCAAATAAACAAACAGAACTAGGAAAAGACAAACCGGTGTATATTCTGTATCTTTATTACACAGTAAGTATGTAATGGAGATCCCAGAAAAACAATCTTGTTATACCATAAGATATAAACAAAACATGCTGAGCTCACTAATGAATTAATGTTTAACTTAGATGTAGTCTTTACCGCTAGTCGAAAACTGACTTTAGCATCCTTGAAGCAGCTATCATAAATACGATATATATGTAGATAAATTCGAATCCTTTTTTTTTTTTACCAAACTGCATACACGTACGCAGGGTGCGGGTTGGGTTGAGAGGGTTCGGCCGAACCTCCTCTTTTTGTAGTGTAAAAAAAAAAAAATGCTCATATACATGTAAGTTATAGTATAGTTGCTTATGATATTTAACGTTTTCTATATAGTCTACATTCTTCTGATGAAACATTAGCATTTTTTGGCTTGAAATATTCGCATGCCCGCAGACTCCTTTCGTATTAGCATGCTTTGCATGCTGATTGTGCTTCGCACAATATGCGTAGGTATTTGATCTCACAAATTAGAACCCCCTTTCAAACATTCTGCGTACGGGCCTGAACTGCTCTTTATTTTTAAATAATTTACTTAGTTAATCTCAAAATAGTTTGAAAGAAGCTCATACGTTTTATTTTCCGGAAAACCCATTATTAATGTGGCATAAATTGATGCATAGTAGTTCCCGAAATTCGGTAAAAAAGTTTTTCTTCAAATTCTTCAAACGCACATACACAAACAATTGGACAGAACTAAATCTAGACGTTTCAAATAACCTCTTTATTAAACCTTTTGTTAATACAATACATATAATTATCAAAATAAAATTCAATTGCTTTTAGTCCAAAATCATTTGAAATACTCGGATATGAAGCGGCAATATAATATATATATATACTTTTTATATGGTGTTTGTGACGATTACATAGTTAAACAGTCTCGTGATTGACTTATTGTTAGCAGGATTACAAATATTTTAGTCACAAAATAACTGATAATTAAGTTCTTAATTATTTTACACGGATCAAATTGTACATAAAATATGGTGAAGACACTAACGTGCTGGTGTTATAGAAACTCCTTGGATTTTATATTCTTATGGCTGAAGAGTGGATAAGATCACAAAACAGGTTCAGTTTTCTCCTATCTTTTGCAAGCTATACTCATTAAATATTCTGTTACATTATTAAATTATCAATTTAATTCACTGTAACAGTAAAACGAGTAACTTTTCAGGTCACAGAAACGCTACATCCATTTGGATAATGAATAGAATTTAACATTACTGACTAAGTGAGAAAGCCCTGTGCGCGGTAGATAGGAAAGTTACAAAACGTGTCGATGTACACTAGTATAAACTTTTAACAGATAGACCTACTAATAACATCCGGTTCTGCTACTTCGTTCAAGCTAAATGAAAAGCATTTAGTAGAGACTAGAGATGGCAGCAACAGTGTCACGTGACTCTCACCGCAGGAAAATAAAAGACGATAAATATAGTAATAAACTATATTTATACATACAGCCGTATGTATGTTTTACATCATATTCACTTTAGCCTTTAATTCCACAACCAAGACCACATCATTTCACAATTCTCGAGTGAAGCAAAGGAAAAACTTTTCAATCTTCGAGCATCTCCGATAATTAATTATTTTTAGAATAATTAATTTTAATCGAAATACCTGCGAGTAGTTTGAGTTTGAATAAGATCACACAAACCTGTCAACTTGATTGCAGCTGTTGGAACATATTGTTACGACAGCGAAAGTCACGCGACGCTGGGAGCATGTGCGCTGGAGTTTCTAGAAGGATCATGAA